TAATCATCCCACGATAAACTAAAAACAAAGACAACACAACTTGTGAAATGACTTCATACGCTGTTTGCAGAGGCATCATCAGATTCTTTGTTCTTTAGTCACGGCTTTCTCAGAAAATGTGAGTGAACCCTAGTTGTTTTTTTTTTTAAAGTAAAACAGAATTAGTGTTTCTTTCTGTGGGTTTTATTTTTCTGCCTGCTCATCTAAGGTGATCCGACAACGCTGCCGCAGACGGCATTGTTGGACTCGGAGTGTGTTTGAGTGAAAGTGGAAAAAGGAGGCCAGTCATCAGGGGGATTAGGCGTCTCTGCGGCCCACTAGCACCTGGTCCAGATGCCGTACATCTGCACACGTACAGCAGCACACTTTGCTGCTAAGGACACGTTACAAAACACAACGGCATCTGGAAAAAATACAAGAGGCTTTTAAACTGAAGAAGGCAAAATACTCATGATAATCACAACCTCTGCTTATTAACAGACAATTTGTGTCCAATCATACGTAAAAGTTCACTTATACATTAAATTTCAATTAAAACCTACGACAACTTAAGATAGGCATCCATAAACAAAATAAAATAAATTATGCTAAAATAAATGTAGATTAATTAAACTAAAGCAGTGTGAGATAACAGGCTATGCTGATGAGTAACAGCAATAATAAGAGGTTAATAAAACTAACATTAAGCTTTGTTTAAGTTAGTTTAACCAATATAAACCAAACAAACCAAATGAAAGAAAAGCTAAGCTAAGCTGAAACAGACTCTATAAGAAAACCACAAGAGGTTTGGGTAATTTAAGTACAGATAAAATAATTAAACAAAGTGCAGTTTAATTAAACTAACTGTGAAATAAATAACTCATAACCAAAAAAACCAATGAAATATTTTCTCCAGGCTACTGTCACAAATTACACTTAGCAATTTAGCTAAGCTAAACTTAAAATCAACAGAAATAATCAGGCTAATATGTAACGGAAAGTCCAGCTAAGATAAAATAATAAGTAGCTTTAGCTAAAAACCAGAGCTACTAGATGAAAACAGACTCAAATAAAATCAGATAAGAAACAAAGAAGTCAATATAAGCTACATCATACTAAGCTAAAGCTAAGCTAAACATTTCAACTAAACTAAAATAGGTTAATTATACTGTTTTTGCTATTTTTATAAGTACATATAATTGTGGTTTTATTTTATTCGGCTTGGAAGAAAACAGTTTCCATCCATCCATCCATCCATCCATTCATCCATCCATCCATGATCCTTTTTATGGCTCTGCTTTACCAAGCAATGCCTCCTCAAATAGTTTTGTGTGGAATAAAAGTTTCATAACTCGCACAGGGCTGTTAGTAGGAAGTGTTTAGTTTAATATAGTAATAGAGTGGGCAGTTTGTCCTCCGACTGAGAAATTAAATGGGAGGAGGCTGGAGCTGCAGCAGCAGCAGACGGGATTTACAGCCTCTAGTTTCTGGGAAGAAGAACCGTTTCCAGCCCGGCCAATTTCACTACTGTACCTTGAAATACAGTCGTGAATTTGTGTGTCTTCACGGCAGTTTATTCTCCAACGCTCTGCATGAACCTCATCTCCCCTCACCCCGAGGATCTGCTGACCCACCCAAAACCGAGTTAATATCCCAGTCGTTTGACATTCAGAGCTCCGTTACTGCCAGCTTTCCGGGCCAATCAGGCTGCAGGATGTTTGCCGGTATGCAGGTTTGGAGGCGACTCAGCTAAACGCAGACTGAACCGCCTGAAGTCTGCTCTTATTGTCTGCATAGTGAGAACAATTAGGGATTGTTCCAGATTGGGATTCCCATAAACTGGAGTCAAACTAACATTTTTTTATCTGTATGATCATTAAAATATAGACGACAATAAAACCCACTGAGAAAAAATGTCAGAATTTTAACTTTTATTTTCATAATTCTGACTTCTTTCCTAAAAATTTTGACTTTTTTCTCAGAATCCTCATTTATTTTCTCAGAATTCTAAATTTTTTTCAGAATTTTGACTTTTTTTTTCAAGAACTCTAACTTTTAATCTCAGTAGATTAAAGTCAAAATTCAGAAATCATTTTTTCCAGTGGCCCTAATCTCTCCTACATTAAAAGCACCTCAGCAGCCATTTTTTTCAGCCTGCTTCGAATGCTGTGTCCTAATTAAAACCTGTAACGTCGGTTTCCTGCTAATGCTACTCACTCTCCAGTAACCGTCTTCTTGCAGCAGCAGAGGCAGAGCAGAACGGCCAGCAGCAGCAGCAGGAGCAGAGGAATGCCGATGCCCAGAACCAAACCCAGAATGAGGTCCACATTCGGTTCAGACTTCACTGATCGCTCGGCTGGTTGAGAGAGAAAAACAAAACAATGTCAAAACCACAGCTATTATTTTAATGAATGCAGAGAGAGCTCTTTCATTGGTGAAATCAGAACAGCATGGCAAAGTTAATGTAATTCAAACTCGCATTATAATCATATTTATAATTCTTACTTTGATGACTTTGCAGCTGAAAACAAAACTCTTAGAAAATGTGAAAAGCCAATAAAAGTAGACCAATGAACCTGACATGATTTAAAAGAAATTAAAGTTGACTGGTCTCCCTCTGAATTCACTAATAAAAAAAGGTTTTTAATACAGAAATGTTGACGTATAAATAATGTTACCCTAATACCTGGTCAGGGCTCCTTTTGCATGAATTACTGCATAAATTAGTTGTTTTTTTTAAGCGGATAAGCTAATGCGTATTTTCCAGGCACATAGAGCCATTTTACAGCAGAATCAGGGAATTATGTCTCCTTCAGATGTTATAAAAATGCTGCATACATCAAACATAACTTAAAAGAGACTTTTCAATTCGACGCCTTGAAATTGGGCCTCTGTCTCTTTAAGAAGCTCCTACTCTTTCTCTCCTCCATTAACCTGCTTACCAGGATAATGTGAGTTGAATTACTGAAATGAACAAACTTTTTAGTGATGGTTTCACTGAGACGTCGTCGGGTTTTGCTTTTTCCAGTAAACTCACCAGTTATACAGGACTGGCCTCCGTCCACAACAGTGCCATTGCAGACACACATGTAGCCTCCGTAGGTGTTGGTGCACACAGCAGCTGAGACACACCCCGCCTCCTTGGCCTTGCACTCATCTAAATCTGTTTACAGAATCAAAGTGAAGCAGCAAATCAAAATCTTATCAAGTATTTTTGGCCTATTATCTAATGCAAATACCTTAGTACTGCTGAAATACGACAAAACTAAGATATTTCACTATAAACTAGACCAAAAATACCTGATAATGTTTTGTGTTTTTGCAGTGCAACTTTACGATTTGTTTTTTAAGTGACGTGTGCAGAAATCCCAAAAATTATTCTCCAGTAAGAGTATCAGTACTTCACCATATTTCTACTCAAGTAAAAATAAAAAGTATGAGGTAAAAAGTCAACTCAAATACTGAGTAACTGATCAAATTATCAGTAATTTAATATTTAAAAGGTACATAAGCAAACGGAACAAAATATAAAGTTAAGACGACATTTTGGTATTTTAAAGACCAAATTTACAAAAAATGATTAAAAATAACAAAATCAGGCAAAATAATTTTTTTCTAAATGAGTTTCTTTCAGTAAAAAAACTGCTAAAACTTTAACAGAAACTGCAGGTGTGTTCGGTTAAAACACAGTTTTTCATTCAATGGGTAGAAAATCCAGAAATTTGACCAAGAGTAGAAATATTTCGTAATAAAATTATTCAAGTAAAAGTAAAATGTACAGAGCAGTAAAAATACTCCTAAAAGTGTCAAACAAATGTAATTGAATAAATGTAAGTAGCTCCTCCCAGCTCTGCTCTATTGTTTACTATGTTTTGCTACACAGAAGTATTTTACCATCAACTTGCACCGAGTTGATGCCGTAGTATCTGCTGACTTTGATCAGGTAGTCCTGGATGTACCAGTGGGGCGTGTCGCTGGACACGGCCAGCCGGTACTCTTCCATGCCCAGGACGGATGCAGCTTTCTGACTGATGTTGTAGAACTTGTTTGTGAAACCTTTGGCCAGGATGTCATCCAGCTGAGGAAAACATTGAACCATCACTTTGCCGTCAAGCAGAATCTATCAGTGCGATGGGGGGAAGGCAGAGCCTGATCACACACCTGCTTGAGTCCGTCCGTTTTCTCGTCTGTCCAGCTCATGGTCAGATTGAACATGTTGTACCCTGAACAGACGCAAAAGTAGAAAAACTTACAAACATCTCTGTAAGACAGATAGAGCTGCAGCAATGGAGGTGCTGGTAGGAGCCCAAACCTGGAGGATTCGTGGAGTTACCTGCATAAGAAACAAAACAAAAATCAAAGACGGTTCCGACTGTGAGCTATTTTCTTTGAATCAAAATAAACTACTGAATAAATATTTATTTCATTCTGGAGTTTAAAATGTTCTTGTCATATATTGACAAACAAAATTGGAATGAAAATGAGTAGTTTGAAGACAAAAATCTTATGTAGTATATCGGAGTGGTGTCCAAAGTGGGGTGCGAGGGCCATTTGTGGCCCTCAGACCTTAATTCAAGAATTGAGCAAATCTGGCCAGAAAGCGCAGCTGGCTCTTTTTTTGTTTGTTTGTTTGTTTTACAGTTAAATAACAATCCAAAAAAACATTCCCATATATCAATGTTTTTAATTCATCTTAATTTTGGAGAAACTAGAACCGTAATTATTGACCTATTTTTACTCGAAGGCAAATCGCTGCAGCTTAACGATTTTGGGCGTCATGACAAAAGTTTGGACACCACAAGACCAAATTTCAAAAGTTAAAAATTTTTCTCAAAAGTCAATTCCTTATACCAGAAGTTACTAAACATCAGTAAATCATCCGTATAGATACATTATTAAACACAAAACAGGTAATGAGCACATATAAAGATTATAATAAAGAAAAAAACATGTATGATACGGCACTCTACTGAACCAATGTCCTCCATTAGTCCTTGATTTTCTTAATTGATCTCTTTGGTTCCTTTAGACAGATTGTGTCATGAATTGTGAGTTTGTGTGGATGAACCAAAATGCAGAAAATACCTGAGAGCATGTTGAACGTTTTAATGAAAAAAATGAAAAAAAACCTCAGGGAACACAGGGAGCCAGAGCAGAGCAAAAACAGCTGGGAAATAACAGGATTCAACTGGATTTAACAGGAGGAACTGAGAATGAGTTGGATATGTAATGGGAAGGCTGATTACTGAACAATGAACAGATTATATTAGATCAGATTAGATTAAGACAGGGTTACAGAGAGAGAGAGAAAGTGGCACAAGGGGCAAGGAAATGAATTTAACACTAAAGAATAACTAGATCTAAGAAATATAACTAACCTAGAGTAACAAGGAAGAGACAAGAAACAAACATGGAAACACTAAGAAGGACTGAACTGAAGTAAAACAGAAACAAGACTGATCTAATCAAAGAAAGAGACTAGATAATCAGAATAATCGAACCTGAAAAAACAACTCAGAACAACCCCAGACGAAACAGATTGTTCCATAAACAGAAGTACAACGTCCCATAGGTTCAGGTCTGATTTGTTTTATTTTAAAAATCTCTGATCCTCTCAAATGATCAATGCCGTCTATTCAGTAAATCCCTTTTTGCTGGTAATTTACCGTTAATATCAGTGTACGTACCACATCCATCTTCATATCTGCATTTGCAGTCGTAAGATCCGCGCTTGTTCACACACTCATACTTGGCATTCTTACATGGCATGAACTTTGCACATTCATCCATGTCTGCAACACAAAGAGCAACAAAAAATTCACCTGTTACATGTAAATACTGGGAAACATTAGCATACGCTGTCAGTCTTATCGCGGTGCAACTGCAAACGTTTGAGTATTACAGGGATTTTCTGAGACAAATCAACTCAAATAGAAGAAAACACAATAAATGAGTCAGTCCGTTTCACTTTCATCAACCGAAATATAAAAAAATCACCTTCAGAAGTTGATTAATTTGTGTAAAATAAGCTATGATTTAAGTTAGCTGTAAGTTAAGTTTAGTTTTATTTCAAGTGTAATAGGATATTTGAATATAAACTAAACTAATACTTTGTAAGATTTTGTGTTTTTTCAGTGTTCAGCCTCTGGAAACTATATGAGAAATTACCAAAACAGACTGCAACTGTTATTCCACTTCCAAATCAGACGACAAAGAAAGCTGAGCAGTTGTACAGCGATGGAGTAAGCTGAGTATAAATACTTGTGCAATGGGTCGACATTAAGCACCTGTGCAGTTGTGTCCATCTCCACTGAAGCCAGTTTTGCATGTGCAGGAGTAGCTGAGCTTGGTGGACAGACACTCTGCATCCTGGTGGCACGGGAAGGGGAAAGGAGGGCTGCACATGTCTGAGGAGGAACACCAGGGAACCAGGGTAAGGACAGGAACCGGGTCTCAGGTTGGAAGATCTAAAGATGACGTATCATGTACTACAGACCATACTCAAAGCATTTGTATCCCTGTTTGTCGTTGGAGACGGTGTTGTCAGGACAGTCTCCACAGCTGAACTGGTCAGGGCCGGACTTTGGGTCGCACTGCACCCCTCTGAAACACGGCTTGCCCCGACATGCGTTTGTTGTGTTTCCACAGAACGCCCCGCTGTATCCCTTTGGGCACAAGCACCCGACTACCTGCAAATTAAATAAAGATGAAAAAGAAAATGACAAATTTTAAAAACATACACTTTTTTACATCACTGGATGGTTTTTCTCAAATTAAGAAACTTTGACAATTCTAAGCTTAAATTATTGGTAGTGTCATTCTCAGTAAAGACAAAATTATTTGGTGTCCTATTGGAAAACCAATGAACACACCTGTTATTTGGTGTGTTTTGTCATTGCTACACTGTTAAATTCCTTCACAGAGAAAAATATCCCACGATTCTGCCATGATGTAGGTTGGCTGATGAAGGACCCGAATGTAGAGAGGCAGAGGTGTAGATGGAGAATGTTTTAATGAAAAAATGATTATCAGAACTTAGAAAAACTAAAGGAGAAGACAGGGAGCCAGAGCAGAGCAAAAACACCAGGGGCGACGGAGAGTACGCAGAGGAGTGGGAAATAAATCTAAAACTAAAGAATGAGGACAAAAGGAAGATAATTTAACTAAAGTACAACTAGACACATGAAATAATACAAACTAGAGTCACAAACTAAGGGCTGAAATGAAGTAAAACAGAAACAAGGCTGATCTAAAGAAACACGTTATTTTTGCTTTCACTAAAGAAAAGAAAGTTGGAAGCTTACACAGGTTGTGTTTTTAGGTTTATGTCATTTTCATAAACATTTTTTGAATAAACTTTTTGCCTAATTACTTTAAACAAATAATTGAATAAATTAAAAAGGATTAAGTAAGTAAAAAAAGAAAACTCAGCAAGATTTCAAGCTCCACGTTTACTATGGCTTGTGTTTAGTGCTGCCATGGTTGCTAGGCGACAGGACAAACTGAAGGATTCCAGCAGAACTTGGACACACCCTTCACGCCATGAAAAGGGCGGGAATCACCATGGCAACAGTAGATTTCTATCGTTCTAAAGGTTTAATTTTCACTGCACCATTTTTATGATTACATTGACTTACAAGAGCAAAAAAATAAGTATTTGTATTACCACATGAGCAAATTAGCTGATGGTACAATTTTGCTTACAGAATCCTCATAATTAATTTTGTTGTTTTGCTTATTTTGGATATTTAAAATGTCTTCCAGAACCATCTTTGAGAATATGCCATTACCTTTATGTTACTTCCAAAATGTCAAAACAACAATATTATCGTTCATCGCAATAACTTCTGGTGCAATTTATCATCCTGCAAAATTTGTGATCGTTGACTACGCAAAAACAAATCAGATTTCACAAAAAAATTGGAACTGAGCATTAAAATAGTCAACAGCTCCACTACCTCCGCTTTCAAAATTTAATTTAGACTTTTACTTTTGTCTTTTGAAGAAAAGGAAAAATAACAGCTTAAACCCAGGAATGCAGTACCTGAAACTTTCCCTGCAGGTGATTTTCAGCCACGCTGTCATACAGGCAGGTTCCTCCGTTAAGACAGTTGCAGACTCGCAGGACGGGGGTGAACAAGGAGCCTGTCTGCCCGTCGCTGACCTGGACAGTCAGCTGGGAAGGCTGAGTGCTGCGCGGTGTCCATGTCAGGTAGCCGTTCACTGGAAGGGAAGGAGAAAATCACACACATACCAATTACGCATCGCAGCTGTCACAGTAGGAAGAGGCTCTCTGTCTGTGTGACTCAGCAGCAGTGGCCTCTCCGTCCAGCTAACAAATGTCAACAGTGATGCCATCACTAACAGTGATGGATGGAGAGTGTGTGTGTGTGTGTGTGTGTGTCTCACCACTGCCAACACGAGCCTCTGGAGGCCAGGGGAATAGCAATGAGTAGGTGATGGGGTCACCGTTTGGGTCCTGAGCGACAATTTGAACGCTGACCTGAGAGTTGACCTTTGTGTGTATCACAGCGGGCTCTGTCACTACAGGCGGCATGTTGCCTGCCGGATCACAAACATGTCGCACAGCGTTAGGCTCAGGCAGAAACAGAAGCACTTCAAGTTCTGGAAATGCCAGATAAATGTACCGAAGAGGAGAGCCAGGCTCCTGAACTGAGTCTGGGCCTCCAGAGTCTGCTGGCCCAGGTCGGGGATGCCGGACGCCACGCTGTCCTCAACGCACTCAACGCTGTTTTTGCAAAGTCTCATCTGCGCTTCCAGCTCAGCAGGACTGAGGCTTTGCAGCAGGGGCGCGGTGGAGTCCAAAGCCAGGGGGACGTTTTGAGACGAAGACACCAGCAGGTTCTCAGGGTTTGGGACCGCCCCTGGAAAACAGGCGAGATGTGAGCAGCAGGGGCGTCACTAGGGTTTAAGGACAAGGGGGGCTCAGCCCCAGCAAACGCAGCTGGTGAGCAACAAAAACCATTTTTAAAACTGTGTTCAGGGTAAAACAAACATCCTCTAAAATAAGCTCCTATATCTTGCTAAAAAATAACTTGCAAGTTAGTTTTGTTGTATTTCAAGTTCGCCAAGGTATTTGGACCAGAAACTAGAACAAAAATACTTGGTAAGATTTTGTGTTTTTGCAGTGTAGCTTTTTAAAGATCAGTAATCTGGGATCTGCCAGAAAACTGCAATCAGACCCTAAAATGTCTTTCTGAAGTCACTGATAAGCAGAGGTACTGCAGCTCATTAACTGTGTTGGTAAATTAATTCAGACTGGAAATTAACTTCAGATGAGTTTGGGTTGAGGTTGGACTGAGAATACTGTCAGAAAACCGAGTCCCTGTTTTACTCACAGGACATGCAAAACTGCTTCAGCCGCTCCTCCTCAGGGGGGTTGAGATCCTGGGAGGGGACGACCTTCCCGTCGGACATGAGGAAGTCATCGGACCGGTTGGCGCTCCACAGCCCCATGAGACCTACTGTGCGTCTGTAGAAGTTCTCCGGGACTTCCACCATGGCCGCCAGCTGACGGTAGCCTTCACTTCGCCAGACGACCACCCTGAGACCGCTGGCATAGACCGCTGCACAGCGATTCACCGAGAGACAGCGCACCGCAAAGCCCTGCTTGTTCTCGTACACAACACCTGGAAGGACAGGTAGAGGCACCGGATGCTCTCCTTAAGATCTGTTAATTAGATTTTAGTCATGCATATTGAAAGTGTGTGATGCATGTTACCGATTCTGACTGGAAATTCAGCATCATCCACATAAATCTGCAGTCCGCTCGCTTTGTCAGAGCATCTCCAGTCAATCTGAGGATAACGGAAAAAGATTAAAACCAGTTAAAGATACAGGTACAAGTTAGTTTTGCTTTACTAAAACTAGAACAAAAGGTAAAAAATTCTGGAATACTGTATTTCCTTTTGTAGATCTCAAGACTGACCTCATAATCTACCACACACTGCAAAAAAACAAAATCATACAACGTATTTTTGTCAAGTTTCTACTGTAAATATCTTGGCAGACTTGAAATAAGGCAAAGGTAACGTACAAGTAACTTTTCAGCAAGAAACAGGAGGTTGTTTTCAGTAAATTATTCTTTAATCTTGATGAAAACTGGCAGATTTTCTCACTTATTACATGAGAAAACATGACGAAAGTAAAGAATCTGCCAATGGAACCAGTACTTTGTCGGGTTTAAAGGTATAAATTCAGTGAAAGTTGGTGGCTGAACAAAACTGTCACATTTAATTAGTCCAAATTACGTTGGCCTGTCACATAATATCCCAATGAAACACTTAAAACTTTGCCTCTGATAGGTTTGAATAATCTGATTTAATCTGAGTTAAAAGGATTATTCTCAGAGGTCAGCATGACTTTTCCAAACGGCGAGCGTTGCTGTGGTTCCGTCCTGACCTTGCCGATGCCTTGGTGGAAGGCGGCCATGCGCACCACCACTGGGACGTCAATGATCCCTCCTGCGACTGTCTGCAGCTTTTCAATCTGTCCTTGTAGGGTGAAGATATTGGAGCCTCTTGCGGATGAGAGACGTAATATCACAAACTTCCCTAGGGCCTTAAACGAGTACTCTGCCCCGTCGAAGGTGATGAAATGCAGACTGCCGTACACCAACGCTGTAGGGAAATATTGTTTTCCACTTTTAAAATAAGACTAAAAACCAGATAATTTGCTTGTTTTAGACTTTTTTCTGGGGATTCCTCACCGGTGCCCCGCGCTGCCCCCCTGGAGCCGCTGCGAATGCTGGAGACGTAACTTTGACAGCGATCCAAAGGTCTCTTTCCAAGGTAGAGGTGGCACTGGGGAGAGTCGATGCAACACCACTGAAATGGGAGGAGATCCCCATCTGCAAGGAAACATTTGGTGAAATTATGTCTCTTAAAGATGCTCAGCTTTAGCTGGATGATCAGACGAGATGTCTGGGTATTAAAGCATTGCAGATTTTAACTAAACAACAATATATTTTGTTTTTTTACAGAGCTCTCAAAATCTACAGTCAACTCTTGCAGTAAGAAACACCATAAAACTCTATGATTCAGTTTATCTCTAAACAGCAGGGAGAAGATCAGCCTTGAGGAAAGTAAAAACAAATGTTTTGTATGGTCGATATGAAACATGTTCATTACAAATCATCCTTAGATATTGAGATTTCTGTCTGCTCAGTTCTGCTTTGAGCTGTTTTAGGGCGCATTGTCACTTTAAATCCAAATAAGCTGCTGCTGGCCACGCCCCCAAACTCAGAGTTTACCCTCACACATAAAAATGGCTGCAAACACATTTATACAACATCTTTGAAGAGCATTAGTGGAGCCTCCTGCACGAGCAACAAGAATGCAGCAAGTGGTTTCTGGATGGAATGTCAACAACTAAACACTTGTCTTTGCCAGCAGCCATTGTGCAGCGTTAAAACCAGGTGACTGACTCTACTCAGGTTGCTAAGTAATGGGGCTCGGCTCGGCTCTGCTATGGTTGCTAGGTAACGGCGCAGCGCCTGCCAATTGTGACTTAATAATCAAAAGGTTTTTGGAAAGGTTCGTTTTCCAGACACCAAAAAACATGAACTTATTCACAGAAAACGGGTGGATGTTTTTTTTAAGCACTTGGATTGTTTCTAGCAGTAGAAACTCAAATGGAAGTGAAATTTGCATTAAAGGTCCCAATGAATGAATGCACTAAATTAAAGATTAAATTTCCCTGTACTTAATTATGTTCCTGTAATGAAATATTAATTTATTTTACGGTGAAATTTACCAGTGGAACAACAAACCATCCACTCGTTATCTGCACTCCACTTTTTCACCAGGAAACCCAAACCAGCCTGAGACTCTTACCGACGTGTTTCTGCATGTTCTGTCCGTAGAAGTAGCGCTCACTGAACCCAGCCAGCAGGGCGCCTTCCGGCTCGTACACGCACCTCTTCCCGGCGCCATACTGGTTGGACAGGAGCGACCTAAAGACCTGCCCAGAGGAGCCCGTCCACCGCTGAGCCCTCAGCTTCTGGACTGTCTCACCCGGGTCAGAGAGGTCCAGCAGGAGCGCCAGGTCCTCCAGAGCCTGCATGCGGGTGCAGGGACAGGAGGACAGCCCCACCGTCCACACAGCCGGGTCCGGCTCCCCCTTCGACCACGCCTGGCATTTGATCCCAGCATCAGCATCCGACCCTACTGGTCCAGTTAAATCATAGACCAACTGGCCGAGATTCCCCAGTGTTCCCGTAACTTCATTGGGTCTGTATCTGCCTGCATGCCCAAATAGGTTTCCTGGAGGTTCTGTAATCTCCTTGAACGTGGTTTTTCCGTCTGTGTAGCCGATCAGAGCATCGTGATGCTTCCTCAGCCCAGGACCCCATTTCATCTGACCGTATCGCAGGAGGGCGAAGGAACGCTCTCCATCTGTTGTCAAGATACACTGGAACGTGTTGGTCTGCAAAGGAAAACCATTTAAACTCAACAAATGCTACAAAGGTTAGCATCTCTTTAAATTGGATCCAATACAAGAAACAACTGCAATAGAACAGGTAAGACTTCACTGCAAAGGCATACCAGAGCAGGAAAATACAGGAGTAAATTTCCACCTAAAAACCCTACAAATCTTCTAGAAGAAACTTGAAAATTTCTGAGCTCCAGAAGTCAAACATTTGCTAGAAAAAAAACTAAAACATTTTGAGATTAATGTCAGGATTTTTATTTTTGGAAAAAAGTGGGAATTTTTGAGTTTGAAAGCTCGAAAATGTGCAAGAAAAAACTTTCCCAAATTTTCTATTTAAGAAAATTTGGAAATTTCTGAGTTTCAAAAGTGGAAAATTTGCGAGTAAAAAGTCTGAAATTTATCTGAAATTTTCCAGAAAAAAATTGGAAATTTTTAAGTTTCAAAGATGTGAGAAAGTTCAAGGTTTTCATCTTTTGAAACTCAGAAATTTCCGTGTTTTTTTTTCTAGACAATTTCTGAGATTAAACATTTCTCAGTTTTTTCAAGCAAACCCTGGATTTCTAAAGCTCAGAAATTTTCGTTTTTTGAGAATTTTTTGGGCAAAACTTTACTTCTATTTTTCTATCTGCACAGACAGATGATGCTAAAAATAAGACGAATGGCAGAAACAAATCCCATTAAGACGCCACGAGGTGGCACCAGATACCAAACTGGAAAGCTGTACAGAAACCATGACTTATTCATTTTCTCCCAGCCTACACCTTAAAACTCTCACATTGCACAATAACATTAAAGTAGGACAACCAAACAACAACACTTCCTGCTCCTTCACATCTTTATGAATCAAAATACAAGCAGGTCATATAAAAAGAAACACAGTTTAAATGCTCAGTATGCTAGACTGTATTTACTCTAGTGATGAGAGATGAACATTTAGTGAGGAGCTTAATACATTTTATGTTTGTAGTTATTGTTTCTGTGTCAGGGTTTTAAAGGTGACCTGACCTCTGACAGGTTGACCTTCTGGAAGGAGACGGGCATCACGTTTTCCCAGGTGATCTTCAGGATCCAGGTGGGGGAAAACGGAGGTCTCTGTTTCAAACCCTCAAACTTTGTCACTTCATCTGCTGTGCGGTTGAAAACCATCTGGGAGTAAAGATCTGACGCATCCAGTTCTGAATATTCCTAAAAGAACCAAACAACAACAATGCAACTATTGCAAAGATTAAGAAAGTTTGATTGGTTTAAATTAAACCCAATTAAAAAAAAAACATATTTTTCCGAGCGTTGGCCTTTGTTTACATCTGACCTGATAGTGCAGCTTCCCGCTGCCTTTGGTGAGGTCACCGTCATCCCAAAAGACAGCCAATAGTGGCACTTTCATGTCGTCAGGGAAACCGTCAGCAGAGGGAGACGGGAGGAGGTATTGTTCGTTCTCAGCCAACGACTGAAACTGGACCAGGCCGTTATCAGAAAACTGAGGAGCGAAAATAAAGACACAGTCAGGCTTTTTACTGAAGCTAAATCACAATGAGAACAATGTTCAGCCATCAAAGTTTTTCTTTCTGTTGAGTTTATTATTCTGTGAACGGTGAGTAACCAAATACTTTGATGTAAATATTACGCCTGAACACTGAAAATTACCGATCTCATAACTTTTTGTTAATTGTGCTGCTGGGAAAACCTCCTGAACTCACCAGGATGTTACTTTGGTTATATTTTCAGTCACACAGCGCCCTCTATTGGCGCTTCTGGTGAAAATGTGCATACAGAGAATTCATCTACTGAAGTAGAATAATCTCAAACAGAAACATTTTAGAGGAAAACAACGATTCAATTTAGTAAAATTATTCAGTGTAAAAAAAACACAGTAAGAATTAAAATTTGTTTGAAATATAACTGAAAAATTTCAGTAATTCATAGTTTTTAAGCCTCTGGAGATCCCAGGAACTAACGTCTTCTTTTCCCAGTGTTGATACTGATATCATACGATTTTCCATAAATACAGCCAGATCATTTCTAATAACAAGTTACACAGGCACTGCAGACGAAGGACGACCATTCAAACATTTTCATCATCAAATATGTTGTTTTAAGAGTTAATGAGTCCCTGTTTTATTTTTCTTCTATTATTGCAAAAGTATAACATCTATTGTTACAAAACAAAGTGGTCTGCCATGAATACCAAATATTCAACTCGCACATCATAATTTATAATTTGTATTTTATTTTTTTGTGTGTTTTTCTTGAGAAAATACAGCAGGGTGAAGAGCCAAAATGGCACCAAATGGACAAAATATGTAAAATATTATGAAGGATCCTAACAGTTCTGATTAGGGCAAAATCTGACTAAATGGTTCAAACTTTTATAGTAAATTTTTTTTAGGATTTTTAGATATGCTGAATTTTACCAAGTATTTTTGTCTAGTTTCTAGTGTAAATATCTTACATTTGAGTTAAGACAAAACTAACTTACAAGTAATTTTTTAGCAAGATATAATAGGAGCTTGTTTTAAGTAAATCATTCTTTAATACTGTTCAAAAGTACTAGCTACATTGGCAGGTTATTTCATACATAACATGTCTTGTTATAAGTCAAATAATCCGGCAGTGAAACTAGTAAAAAAAAATGTTTAAATCAATATTAAGGAATTATTGACTTAAAAAGCTCCTATATCTTATTGGAAATTTATTTTTGTCTTATTTGCAGTAAGAACTAGACTAAAAAAATCTTTGGTAAGGTTTTGTGCTTTTGCAGTGAAGCGTTTGAACACTTTAAAACATCAGGAGACTTTAAATGGAAATCTGATGCACTCTCCCAGAAAACTGAAAACGGAGAATCACTGGGTCCTTCAGAAGGATAACGATTTGAAACATATCCACGCCTTTATTCATGGTGATTTCAGTCCTACAAACCTATAGAAAACCTGTGAGGAGAGCTGAGGAAAAGTGAACATGATGTCGAGACTGTGCAAGAAGGAAAGTCAGACTCACAAATACTCTGTCGTACAGTTTCCCCATGAAAGGAAACCCTGCTGGTGGGGCGATGTAGGGAGAATTTCCATCTTCTGTTTCTATTTTCACTTCTCTGTCTCCAGCCTCTGCTCCGTATGGGTACAGAGAGCTCTCTGTGTGGAGAACAGGCAGTTAGTCGTTAGTCAAGTTTGGTTTTTTAGCCCTCAACCTAAGGCTGCGTTCCCACTGCAGCCCAAAGTGACCCAATTCCGATTTTTTTTTTTTTTTTTTTTTGTTTGCCTTAATACCTGTGTCTGATCTTTTGATGGCAGTCTGAGCAACACAGGTCATTTTTTCTATTTTTTTTTTTTTTTCAAATGCGACCCAGGCCACTTGGATGTCTGATACTTATCTGATATTTTCAAACGGGACCCGAATCTGAAAAGTCCATGTCCTGAACGTCATTGATACTCGACAAGCGTCACTATTCTGCGTCCTGATACGCGTAAGCGGGAAGCAAAACAACAACCATGGCGGATTATAATGAGGATTAAGTTGTTAATGTCCAGCCTCCGGCCGGACAACAAGCTATGCTCCACCGTTAGCATCCTGTGTTTACTTCCGCCAATACTGAGTACTTCTTCTTTTTGTTGGCGCTTGGCAAAACACTGAGAACGCGCTCTATGTGTGACGTCATTGCGCCCTCTACTGCGCATGCGAGATACTTTCAGATCGTTTGCAGTTCAAACTGCTGATCACAGAGGTCGCACATATTTGGAAGTGTGAACTACGGCCACGCCAAAAAAAAAAAAAAAAAGCAATTTGACAAAAAATTGAAATTGGGTCACTTCGGGTTGCAGTGTGAACGCAGCCCAAGACAAGACGGTTTTCTTTGCCCTCTTTGTTTAAGACATACAGCTAAGAAATAACTTAATTTTGCTTTTTAGCCTGTTTTTAATCATTTTAAACCAGTAATGTTTCACTTTAATTGCTTCTTTATTTTTCAAGGTACAAATGGTTTTAAATGGTCTTGCTTAGTTTTCTTGTAACAACACTGTATTATTAAAGTAAAACAAATTAGTTGGGGTTTTTTTTTGTTTTTTTGTTGGGTTTTTTTTTGCACCACAGATAACTGAGAGGCCATCAGTGGGATAATAATATTGATGTAATATCGATGCTTTGGACTGGTCCACACTTGAATACAACAGAAAACATATGAAGGGAGCTAAAGCTAAAGATTAGGGTAATGGTAAAGAGGCCTTCCAATCTTAAAGACTTGAAGTTCATTACCAAAGATCAAAACACTAAAGAAGACATGGAAAGAAGGTTTTGATTGCTGTAATTCCACAAAATATTTATCATTTATTATTCAGGAAATGATGCTTATATACGAAAAATGTATTTCTTTTATTTTAACTAGTATTGCTTTCACATGACTTTACTGGTGTTTTAGAAATGTCTGTCTCAGATATTTTGGTCTTGGTTAAATTAAAAATAATTTTAGATCTAAATCTGTCTGGTATAACAATAACTTTGAGATTAACTACATACCTGACTGGAAGGAGATTAGTTTCTTATAGACTTGAGTTGTTTTTTTGTTGATTGGGTTGTTACCAATCAACAAAATGAGCAGCATAAATAATTGGTTATAAAAATGTAATAAAAAAACAAATGCATAGCTAACCCATCTTGGCTAAGGTATTGCAATCTGGGTTGTTTGCTGGGCAGGAACAGGCGTAGCTCCCTGGCAGGTTGGTACAGGACGTCTGATGAGGACACAGGTTGGGGAGGACGCACTCATTCAAGTCTACACAGCCTTCTTTTCCAAGACCGTTATCCTTGGTAGCTTCCCAGCCTTGGTTGCATGAGCATTTGAATCCTCCTACATAATTGATGCAGGTAGCAGCTGAGTGACACTGCCCATGTTCTTGCTGGCATTCATTAATGTCCACACATAGGGGCCCAATGCTGAGGAAGCCTGGCATACAGACACAAACAAATGATCCTGGGGTGTTATGACACTGAGCAAGGGAGTGACAGGGGTTGGTAGAGGCAACACACTCATCCACATCTTTGCACCAGGAGCCATTTCCAGTGAAGCCTCTGTAACAGTGACAGGAGAAGGAGCCAGGTGTATTCCAACAGTATGCCAAGGGATGACATGGCAAATTCTCACATTCATTGCTGTCAACACATGCCTCATTCTCCTCATGGTAACCAAGAGGGCAGGAGCAATTGTATGCTCCAGGTAGGTTTGTGCACACCTGATCAGAGCGACAGGTGTTGCTGCTCTTACATTCATCAATATCCTCACAGCCAGTGTCAATGGGTTGGTACCCAGGGGAGCAGTGGCAGAGGAAAGACCCTTCTGTATTGTTACATATAGAGTTTTCTGGACATGGGCTACCAACTGGGTCAAGACATTCATCCACATCCAGACAGTTGATACCATTCAGAATGAAACCTACATTACAGGGACAGAGGTATGAACCTAGAGTGTTAACACATGTGGAGAAAGGCTGGCACACTGAGGAGTTGAGAAACTCTGAGCATTCATCCACATCCACACATTCTGTACCATTGCTCGAGAATCCACTAAAACAATCACAGTAATAAGAACCAAGAGCATTCATGCATGTTCCATTTGTGCAAAGCTCTCGCCCATTGTTTTCACTGCATTCATCAATGTCCACACATAAGTCAGTGCTATTGGAAAACCCAGTATCACAAAGACACTGGTGGCTTCCTTTGGTGTTCACACATGTGCTGTGGTCAGGGCAGGTGGAATTGTCCAGGCATTCATCAATGTCCTCACACTCTGTGCCATTGCTTTGGTAGCCTTCCCAACACACACAGATGGAAGATCCAATCGTGTTAAGGCAATTGGAAAAATTAGGACACTGGATCAGGCCAAGGGAGCACTCATCAATGTCCAAACACAAGGAGTCATTGGCTGAGAATCCTGGGTCACAGGTGCAGTTGTAACTCCCTTCTGTATTATTACAGGTACTGTTGTCAGGGCAGGTGAAGTTTCCCATCTCACATTCATCTATATCCCGACAGTGTGTACTGTTGTCTCGAAAACCTTCCCAACACCCACAGATGGAAGATCCAATCGTGTTAAGGCAGTTGGAAAAATTAGGACACTGGATCAGGCCAAGGGAGCACTCATCAATGTCCAAACACAAGGAGTCATTGGCTGAGAATCCTGGGTCACAGGTGCAGTTGTAACTCCCTTCTGTATTATTACAGGTACTGTTGTCAGGGCAGGTGAAGTTTCCCATCTCACATTCATCTATGTCCTGACAGTGTGTACCATTGTCTTGAAAACCTTTCCAACACTCGCAGATGAAAGAACCATTCGTGTTTTGGCAGTGTGAGAAGGGAGGGCAGACTTTATCTTGTAACTGATCGCATTCATTTACGTCCCAGCAGTCAATTCCACTTCCTTCATATCCATCTGTGCATTGACAGTAGAAAGAACCCTGGTATGTGTTACACTTGGCAAGAGGATGGCAGTAATTAGTAGCATTTAGGCAGGTATCTTCACTAATGCATGTTCCGTCATTGTATACGTTTCCCAATATACAAGAGCAGCTGTAGGAGCCAGGAAAGTTGGTGCATGTCATGTTCTTGCTGCAAGCTGTGGCTAACTCACATTCATCAACATCATTACAAATAAAGCCATCCCCTTGGTGTCCATGATTGCACTGGCACAGGTAGGAACCATTGGTGTTGAGGCACACTGCCTGTGAGCTGCAGTTGTTTGGCAGGGTAGAGTTCTGCTCACATTCGTCCACATCCTTGCAGTAAAAGCCATCCCCCTCCATGCCCATCGGGCAGACACAGGAGAAAGATCCGGGCATGTTAGTGCAGTTGGCAAATGGGTGGCATCCTCCATTTTGGTCTTGGCATTCATCAATGTCTATAATTTATCCAAAATGGGACAGTGTCAGGGAAACAGCCCCAAAATGTGCTAAAAAAAACTCACAAGAGTGTCCACTAACAGAAGCAAGATCAACAGCTTGTACATGGTAAGGAAGTGATACGTACCAGAGCAGTTCTTCCCATCTCCTGTGTAACCACTTCGACAAAAGCAGGAGTAGCTGCCCACTGTGTTGTTGCACTGGGCAAACTCACTGCAGTCTTGCTGCCCCGTATCACATTCATTCACATCTGGAAAAGTCATGAACAAATAGTGTAATAAGAGAGAAGCAATGAAAGGTAAATAATTTAGCAATCAGAATAAACTAAAAGCAGGTCTAGTTCAAGTATAGTCATCAAATTAATTAATTGGCTTATGGTACCCAGTTAAAACAAAAACTAGTCTGGTGCCACAATGAAGCTAACCAATGTTTTTCACTGTTCATAATATTATGCCTGATCAGTAGATAGACTGTTAAAGTACTTGGGGTGGCTGGAAAAAACTGCAATAAAAATATATTTATGATTTAAAAAAGAGGTGTTTACATTTTTGCATAAGGTCATATTGGTTTGGGTCCATTGTCTTCCATTAATGAATTAAATAGTAATTTGAAAACTGCATTTTATGCTTACAGTAATCTGTGTCTGATATAATTAAAGGGGATATAATTTAATATTAATTGATATTAATATGTAATTAAATATCACATGCCCTAATATTTAGGCTGAACCTGGCTCTGGACATTCATTGTTTTAAATAAATAAATAAATAATCATTACCGACACATTGAGTCCCGTTGAGAGTGTAGCCTTGTTTGCAGACACAAGAAAATGATCCAGGGGTATTCACACATTCAGTTTCATTGTCAGGGCAAATATTGTCCATCTGGCATTCATCGATGTCGGTGCAGGTCACTCCATTGCCATCAAAGCCCATGTCACAAACACACTGATATCCGGAAGGTGAAAGGTGGCACAAACCTTTACTATGGCAGGGAGGATCACACAGAAAAACTGGTGACACACAGGAGTCATTGGAGGCCACTGTACCATTCAAACATGAGCAAACATAAGAACCAGGAGAGTTGACACATTGTGAGAAAGGAGGGCAGGTGGTATTGGAGCGGGAACACTCGTTCACATCCTCGCAGGAAAATCCATCACCTATGAAACCTTGCTGACAAGAGCAGAAAAATCCCCCTATAGTGTTAGTGCATGTGGCCCTTGTGTGGCATATTTGCCCCTGAGCACATTCATCTTTGTCCAAACAATGAGAGCCATTCCCTGTAAAGCCTCTCTTACAGGTGCAGGTGTACGAGCCAATGGTGTTGAGACATGTGGCATTGATGTGGCACGGTTTGTCTTGACACTCATCCCTATCGACGCAGGCCATGTTGCTCGCAGGGCGGTTGTACCCAGCCAGGCAAGAGCACTCATAAGAACCATCAGTGTTTTTGCACTCTTCATTCTCTCCACACGGATTGCTCTTTTCCACACACTCATTGATGTCTTGGCAAATTGTCTTATTAATCAAGATGAAACCTGACTGGCACTGGCAAGCAAAAGACCCTTGGTTATTGACACACGTTGCTTTGTTTTTACAGCCTCCATTATTCACCAGGCACTCGTTGATGTCATTGCACTGAAGCCCATCCCCAGAGTAGCCAGTCACACATGTACAGTTGTAAGAACCAGGTAAGTTTTTGCAAACAGCCTTCGAGTGGCAAAAACCAAAATTCAAAGAGCATTCGTTTATATCCTCACAGGTAAAACCATCTCCCGTGTAGCCTGACAGGCACTGACAAGAAAAGGAACCATATGAATTAGTGCAGTTTGCAGAAGGGCTGCATTGCCCTGCTTTGCATTCATCAATGTCATTGCACTTGGAGCCATTGAAGAGTAATCCACTGCCACAGTCACATTTGTAGGACCCGGGACTGTTCACACAGGTAGTGAAAGATGGGCAAATGTTTGGCTTTGCACACTCATCAACATCTTCACAGCGTCGTCCATCTCCAACAAAACCTTCCGGACACACACACTCATAACTGCCCAGCCTGTTGATGCAAACAGCCTTCGAGTCGCATTCATTGCCTCTAATGCATTCATTTATATCAGCACATGTCAACCCATCTCCCGCAAACCCACTTTTGCAGGTACACTGGTATGATCCAACAGAGTTTTTGCAAACTGCATTAGGGCTGCAGATGTTGCTTGCACACTCATCAATGTCAATACAGTTCTGTCCAGTGGCTTGAAAACCACTGTTGCATGTACAACGATAGGACCCAGGTGTGTTTATGCAGCCTTTGAAACCTAATAAAGTAGAACACACACGACTCTCTGAACACTCATCTATGTCCATGCACAAGTAGATTCCATTTCCTTTATAGCCTGCATTACAAGTGCACACAAAAGAACCAGGGTTATTGGTGCAGGTGGCATTCCAATGGCAGATTCGTTCCCTTGTGCATTCATTGATGTCTGTGCACTGTAAGCCGTCACCTGTGAATCCTGAACTACACTGGCACCTTCTCCCACCATCCAAATTGGTGCAGACTGCAGTAGGGTGGCAGCCCCCATTGTTCGTTTGACACTCATTGATGTCCTGGCAGGTTTTACCATCACCAACATATCCATCAAGACAGACGCATGAATAGCTGCCTGGGGAGTTTGCGCAGCTGGCCTTCGAGTGACAACTTTGAATGCCACTCAGACACTCGTTGATGTCGCTGCACTGCAGACCGTCACCCTGGTAACCCACGCGGCACGCACAGGTGAAGTTGTTGCTAATCTTCAGGCAGTCGGCCTGAGTGTGGCACTTAATGCCTTCTGCCTCGCATTCACTCTTGTCGACGACAACTAAAAAAGAAAAAAAGAAAGACAGGAAGTTGAAAAACCAAATTATTTTAAATTTTAAGAAATATCAATCACTCAATTCATTATTGCACATGAGCTGCACAAACCTGCTAAGCAGCAAACCAGCTGGGTGAAGACAGTTAACAGCCACAAGATAGAAAACCTAAAATGGAAAAAAAATCATTTTCACATAGAATAGATTTCACTTTATTAGCTAAAGCAATCTTCAAGCCAAATGATGCATTTTTGAGTGTCTAGTTTCTCAGTCTCTGGCTTCGATGTTTTTAAAATATTAGCTGACCTTGATAATTTGACAAATAAATGCATATTGAGTTTCAATTTGTGCCAAACTCAGTTTCATTTTGGACCACATCAGAAAGCTGAACGTTCTTAAAGGGCCAGTTGTGCAAGAATGTATTAATAAAATGATTCTGAGTGAATTTTGCAGGTTTGTGAAAAACTAGAGGGACTTATTTATGTAATCTGGAGTCCAGAGGGCCACATAAAAAGCTACGGCGGGCCAGATTTGGCGCCGGGACCTTGAGTTTGGCATGTGTGCTAGATGATTCATTCAAGTTGTTATCAAACATATTGAAGTCAAACTGATGTAAATATTCCCAGGCCTGAATGCTTTGTCACTGTCAGGAAATGACTCAAAGAGGCGATTGGCATAAATCTGAACAGTAATGAAAATAATCTCTTGTGTTTGCTCTTATTAGGTTTCAGTCTAAATGCTAAAGCACCCCTGAGGACATGCAGGGCTATTGTCTGCCTTCAACGGAGGCTTTGGATGGACGGCAGGAGAGACTCCAGTTACATACATGGAGGAACAGCTACCACCCCTGAGCTCCTGCAACTAGGACAGCACGGTGGGTCAAAAATGCACTGTTACAGGTAACAACCAATGCTCTTTAAGCAGCATTTTTATCTTTTTATTACATTTTTTCTGGATTTTTGTTATGTGGTCTTTACCTTAAACACAGTGATTGTCAATTAATTATGTTTAAGATCAGACAGAACAGAAGAAGTTTTATAGACATAGATAAATTTAAAACAAGTCAAATAATGTACATAAAGTTTCATTTGAAAAAAAGACAACATTAAGGCGTTTGTGCATGCAGCACATACAGCAGAGAAAAGGACTTAAAAAAGTATGAACATAAATAATTAAAAATAAATGATAAAAATGTACCACAAAACGGTAATATAACAGCTGAATATATTACTGAGCATGACTAATTGAATATAATATATAAAATACTGGATAAAATGAAACAAGGCTTGATTTTTATCATATTGGTTATTTATATGGAATATTTCAGTGAATATGTATGGAGTCCTAAAGGTAGATGCTGAAGAAATATAGATAGAAAGTATGAAATGACTGATAAATTACAGTCATATATACTGTATTTACAGCTGGAGAAGATCGTTTATAGGTAGTGTGAAGTGTGGCCTTAATCTACGTCCAGAATGGATCAAATAGATGTAGAATTTAAAGAACTTTTTCAACTATAGATACACACATTGATAGGTAGCTAATTAGCTAATTAGCTAGCTGGATCAATAAAAAGATATACATTTTATTGCTGTTGTACTTTTCTATGTATAGCTTAAATTCAGTTAAGAATCCTAATCGTCAAGATTATTAATTATGTTAATTCTACAGATGTTTTTTATTATTATTTTTCTGCTACTAATATGTCTTGTTTATCATTTCAGAGTGAAGATTTCAGTCATTCATTCATTTAAAGTCTAAAATTATGTTTTCCATCTGGGTGTGAAAAGCTCTTAAAAACACCCTTAAAAAATCAAACTCCACTTTTTTATTATCATCCCTGGTGAATATTAAAACATTAATGGACATTTTGACATTAAAAAGTCTGTGAGATGGTTATAATATTCCAACAGAACCTCGACTAAAATGACTGAACATCAGTATTTATGTTGAATGAAACATTAGTCCCAGATGCCAGTTCTGAATTCAATCAGTGATAAAACTGAAACTGACAGAAATTGAGGAAAATATAATTTTTATACTGAATTAATAACCTGCTGCAAAGTGAAGCCATTTCTGAGGCTTTGCTGTGAGACAGAGTTGGGTTTAGATGTTCACGTGTTTAAAATTTAAACTGGGCTAGAAATAACTGAGATAATCTGTAACTTTAGTCCAAAACGACTTTACTGAGAGAGATTTAAATCTGGATTACGACAGATTTAAATGATTTAAAGTGTAACATGTAGCCTGTAATTTCAGGTGGCGTAATAATTTATATAATATTATAATGTGCATTTTATTTATATTAATTATTTACTTCTTTGTTCTGTTTTCCACACAGACTTCAATCAATTAGTTCCTTTCTTTCGTCCCGTTTACCTCTTGAAATATTTTTCTTTTGAATATCTTATCAAAGCTTAAATAAATACCCAATTGGTCAATTAAATTTAGCACTACACAAAATAAATTTATGACACTAACTACTGTTTTCTTTCCTCAAACATACAGAAACAGTTGAATAAAAACATGAATGTTTTCCCCGTGACTTTCCCTTTGACTACCACCACAGAAAAATAAAACAGAGATTTTAACTCGCCTCATAATTCCCAGTCTGATGGTCCCGTTTGTGTCTGCCATGACTGAGAGATTTCCGTCGCTCTGCTCGTCTTTTGCTGCACGTCTTTGTCCTGGAGGATCTTCTTCTGCTTTTTATTTTTGGACTCCTCCACCCCACCTGGGACAATGCCCCTGTCCGCCACAGCACGCTCAGCCCTGACATCTTAAACCTCTGGGAAGAGGAACACCCATATTCCTCTGGTTATGTGTCAACTCATACACAATAAATGTTCCAGCAACCTGAGGACACCATTTGTCCTCTTTACTGTACGTCGACGATAATCAGTCAATTTGCTTTTATTCCTCTGTTCATTACGGGAGAGAGAGGTTTCGATTTTTCTGGAAAAGATTTCAATGTAATCCATTCCTGGCTGCCATGAGTTGTCCAATATTTAACATGAACTGATGCAAACAAATCAGCAGCAGCATTAAAAGGCCAAACTAATCTTCAACCAGTCACGATACAGGATGGTTTGGGTGTAGCCTCTGATTTAATTTATCTTTTCAATTGTATCCTTGTTGATTGTGCAGGAGGCAACTCTTCTGCTTGTCAAAGACATAGAGTTGTATTCAAAACATGTCTAGCACATTTTTTTATAGAAAATCATTCTTAGCTAATGAGATTCTGGTTTGAGCTCCTCTCAGAAAGAGTTGTTTTAGGGCCTCTTGTCACTTTAAATCCAAATAAGCTGCTGCTGGCCACCCCCCCCAAAATCAACGTTTACACTCACACATGAAAATGGCTGCAAACAGATGCAAAATTATGCAGCCATACACCTTTGAAAAGCAGAAGCAGAGCCTCCCACACAACCAACAAGAATGCAGCAGGTGGATTCTGGATGTTAAGTCAACAACAAAACCGCTGTCTTTTTCAGCAGCCGTTGTACAGTAAAACTAGCTGATCAAATGTCCTGGAACTCTGCTTGGGTTGCTAGGTAACGGGCCGACTTGCCTTGGGTTGCTAGGTAACAGGCCGGACTCATCGAATGTGTGACTTAATAACCAGGAGGTTTCATTCGCTGTAATTGGTTCCCTCCAATGTTCTCTGCTGTTTGTTCAGGAAACAAGTTACACACATAAAGTAAATTAATCCTGACTGCGTTATTAGTCCATTTATCACCATATTTCTTTTTATCTCTTCAGTAAACAAATGCAGTTTCAAGTGGTGAATATTTCTCTTGACATTGGCAATTTATCATGCCAATATTTATCTATCTTATCACACCTGTGTCATATCTGACACTAATAAATTCCTACCAGCTGCTACTGGATTAATAAAAGAGAGATTTACTTCTGCCACAGCTTGGAAAAGCAGAGCTAGCTCTTTGGCGCAAAGTTAAAACTGTTAAGCTATGACCCAAAATAAATGGACACAGCTAAGCTGTACCATATATCTATTCAAAAAGATTAAAAAACCCAGTTTCTCTTCTACCTTAAGTGCAACTGCAGGGACATTTGCAGCTGCAACGAGAGGTTTACATGCACTCAGACTGAAGTTAGATCAGACCAAACTTCTCTTGTTTTAGGCAGAATTACCTAAATTATTGCTAAACTCCACAATAATGACAGAAAGGATGTGTCAGAGAATTATTTATTGATGTCTTTAAAGCCAGAAGTTTACATACATTTCCTTGGTATTTGGTAGTTTTGCTTTCAACATGTCTGATGACTTGGGTCAAAACATTTTGGTTTCCGTCCACAAGATTTTCAGAGTTCTGGCCCAGTCCTCTATAAATAACCAAACTTACAGCCGTTTTCAGGGTTGAGATCAGGGCTTCATGGTGGCCAAACACTGACTTTGTTGTCCCTGAGCCACTTTATAGCCAATTTCTGAGTTAATTTCTGGTTTTAACTCAGAAATTAAAGTTCATGAAGTTGATTTCACAACAAGAGACAAGTTGTCTAAACATTGTTTTTTAAGTGAATTAATCTTGAATTGTGAGTTTTAACTTAATACTAGAATTTAAACCGAATAATTATTTTACAATATGCAAGAAAAAACTGCCATAATCTACATTAGAATAATTAAAATTCTTGTTTCAAACTGCATGAACAAAATTTCTGATCTGACAATGAATTTTTATTAAACATCACAATAAATTCTGCCTAAATTTGGTGTGAACAGGACATTTTCCTCAAGCTTTACGGTCGCAATAAAACTAACATTTGGCTTAATAACACAAGAGTCAGATCAATGTAACGAACTTCCATCTCGGGATAAAAAAACATGCCATTAGCACTCTGGGAAATAGTTCTCACTCCTGCCTTTTTTACATACGTATATAAATATGTTGGTCAATGTTCCTTTCACTTCGCCCACTGCTGACGACAAATACTCTCCTAAGATGCTCTCTGCTCGTCACGCTTTTATTTTGAAAACTAAACGAAGCAGTCTCATCCCATACAATGCAAAGCATCGTTTACTGTCAGTCACGTGGTTTTCAGCAGGACAAGCATCGGAGCGGGTCTTCATCCGACATGCCCCCTTTTTACTCGGTACTGCCTCGAAGCCTGGATCCAGGCTCCCCATAGCCAGGAGGAAGAAGGAAGTATTGTTGAGCAACTTCTTCATTCTTTGTCTGACCTCTGCAGACGACGGACGCTTAGAGAGACGCTTCTTGTTTTTAAAGAAGAAGAAAGTTTATTCTTTTGGAAACGATCACTATGAAGGGTTTCATCCTTCTGGCCCTGGCTGTCTTTGCAGCTTTGCAGACTGTGGACTCTGACTGTAAGTACCGTGAACTGATTAAATTTAGTAACACTTATTTAGTCTCTTTTTTTTTATTAATATTGTTTAATTTTACATTTTTTAATTAATGGAAACTATTGAGAACAACATCCAGACTGGTGAAGATGGGGGTTTGGAGCTCCACCTCACTCTGGGGTCCAGGGTACAATAAGTGCAGGTTGTGGTGTTCACCTTTGATTAAATTTGTTTTGTTTTTTTGCTCAGGTGGTTCATGTAAAACAATGAAATGGGTCAACTGTCAGGGTGCTGCACCCTCATGTACATGT